AACCCATCTGGTGCTGATACTAGTTCAAAGGTAAAAACCCTGAACTGCAGTACCTGACCCTTGTGCACAAAAATGCTGATAGTGGCAGGACACCACAACTATGGTAAAGTGCAGATAGGAGCCAACTACATCAAACTTGGACATCTACAATCCTTGTAAAAAATGCCAACTCAGATTGAGGAATGAGTCACTTATGAACCTTGGAGAGTCTAAGCATTGATATAGACTCTCCCACTCTACCCCCAGACCATCCAAATTCTGATAGCCATAGAAAACTAAGTTCTGAAACCAGAGTATATGCATAAGACACAAACCCTACAGGTTGGGTGGATAATGGTGGTGAAGATGTGAACTGAAAGACTAATCCTGACTCAAGGACCTATAGTGTCCATGGATCCATCACTAAGATTACCACACATCCAGAAATTCTTGGTGCCAAGCCTTCACAGACCCTGAAGGCATACAATAATCACTAACACCACTGGGGGCATTCCAACCAAGAAGCAGAACCTTTGGATATGGACAGAATCTATTCTGGGTACCAATCTACCAAGGGGCTGATGATGAGACCCTCAAATAGAGACAGAACTATAACCTCGTGTAGGAGCCAATGAAAGTCAAGACACCAACAACAACAGGGATGAATGTAGAAGCTGAAAATCGAACCAATGTACATGCTAAAAATGGTTCCAGCTCGTAATCAATGAAATTGGTGATCCTAAGAGTCTTCCAACAAAGTTTTGTGTTAGGAAAACAAAAACGTTGGATATGAGAGTTGTAAGTCTGTATATTTACTGCTGTCCCACCAGGGGACATTGATCTATTCAAGTTAACTACAAACTCTGCCTTAGAACCCCTAATTTTGAGGAACAGATGTATTATATGAGAGTTGGAATATGCTTCCACCTTGCTGTTGTAGGCTAAATCACGTAGTTCCAACAAATGTGGTGGATAAGGCATAGCTGTCCTGTTATGTAATTCATGAACCATAATGTCAGTGGATGGAGAGAAAACTAAATATTCCCTCCCAGACCTTACAGCCATCAAGTAAGATGCAGGCTCAAAAGCAACTGGGGAAAGACTCAAAACATCACACCAACTGGACCAACTGAAGAAAACGAATCAGAGGCAGATTATCCCAAAGTAGCCACTTTTATATTTCTTTTCAAGACTGTGCTGATAACCATTGTTTGGAACAGAGCAAAACAATGTTGAGCCATCTGCTATGTCCATTGTAGGGAATTGAACGCTGGACTTCAGCGTTGTAAGTCCGTAAACTTACCACTGTCCAACAGGGGGACTGAAAAGTCAATAGAATAAAAGAAGGCACAGGAAAAAGTGAATCAAAATTCTCTCCAGAATGTCCAGGATCCCCCTCAACAGCAGCCTCAGAGCCCTGCGGAGAAACACAACAAATAATTTCACTGACAAGTCTCACATGAGAGTGATCCCCACCCCAATTGTTGTGCAATGCTAGATATCAGAGGTGGGATAAGAAAGACCTGATTTGCCTCTGGAAATAGTAATCTGGGAATTCATACTGCAAATCAGCTTGCCAATAAAAAAAAAATGTTTTCATTTTATTTGATTTTTTTATAAAAATCAGCTAGGTAGCACTAAGAACATTCAAAGTATCTCCAACAAACATAGCATACAGAGAAACCACGTTAGTGAACGCTTTGACGAGAAAAAGTGATAACACTATCTGAATGGGGTGCTTTTATACAGTACCAGGATAGAGGGCGCATTGATGTAGGTGGAGAGTGTCACAAGATATATATCACAAAGGGCAATTAAATGGGATATAAAAGACTGAAGCAAGTGAGAAAAAATCAGACCAATGCTTAAAGAAACTCTGTCAGTCAAGTAATAGCTGTAGTGTAAGAGTAGGTAAATATGTTTTGGAAATTCAAGTTTTTTGTGTACAACAGTCTTGTGATGTTTATTAAAAGCTTGCAAAATTTCATAGGTACATGCAGTAAATTCAGAATTATAGTAAACATTACTACATATAGTTCCAAATGTACAGTCCAATGGATCAATGCCTTGTTGGCGAGTGTAATGCCACCATTGACCCTGCATTAATGATTAATTAATAACTCATAAAAGTCACAATATCTGAAATACAAACAAACATGGCATGGTTACTATGGGACCTTTTAAAGTAGAAATTTGATTTTTTTGGTCAATTTATGTTATATAATACAATAAAAACCATTAGAAAGCATAGCTATTTACTACATTTGTTACTCATAACCTACACATCTGTTGGCTTGGAAACCAGTTTTCCCACACATATACCATAGTAGGCTTACTGACATCACAAGTTAGGCCACTTTGTTTAAAGAAACAGTGCAATAAGAAATTGTTTAAAGTACTAAACTAATAGAAATAGATAGTATTTATTTCACTATTTTATACATAAAACTATCTGGTATCTTCCTCTTACTGTTTTATGTAGAATTGTTCAAAACATGTAATGATTCTTTACTTTTGACCAAAATAAAATCCCAGCTTTGGTCAACTTGATGATGACCTCGAGTTACCAAATTCTTAAGTTCTTACAAAAAAAAATAACTACCAAGTCAATCACTTCAGTAAATTAAAAAAGATGGAAGGAAAACTCATTCTGTTAATTTAGTCAATTTCGATGGCTTACACATAGAAGATCATTAATAGTTTACAAATCCCACTTAGCATCAAGACCACTGGATATGTCATAAGAAATTTTACATTTTTTTAATGTAGTGCAACTATGCACAAAAGGCAGTGAGCTATAAGGTAAATAGATTGTGAGAAAGAAAATAATCCCAGGTTTGAGACAATATATTTATGATTTTCTCAGCATCATGCATTTGAAAATTGTAAGCATTAAAACAAAATACATGCAGAAAGTTGAATTTTTCAGTTCTTGATATTGCCAATTTCAAGATTTAGAGTTTTCACACTATTTGAGTTAGAAACAAGCCTCAAATGTATGAAAAGTTAACAAATTTGCAGCTCGGTTTCTTCCACTGATAAGCTGTATCTGCTCAAGTGGGAAATTTAACAAACTCTACCACCATCTCAATAATAATTACAACAGGTGCCAAAAATTGAAAATTAAGGTTAACAATTTATATTTATTAATTACATAATCTGAAATAAAACTTACACCATAAAAAAAAAATCTCAATATTTCAGCTGTAATTTCATTTTGGAGATAATTTGAGTGGATAGATCACACAATTTTTAAAATCTTGATGTCATCATTTCGTCTTTATAATAACTCAACATATTGGGATAAAAATGGTTAAACTATAATATAATGTTACTAATGACACTTCTGAGTTATTGTAGAAAATCAGGAATGTCAAAATAGCCTGTAACTTGACTACATGTGAAGAAATGTATCAAGCTCATCATACCTATTAAGAACCATAGGACCATCAAATGTCAATCCTTGATTTTTATGACTAAATACAGATAAATTCTAATGTAATATATCTGTATTGTTATCATCTACACATGCAAAAAGTACTAAATTTCTAAAAATAATTAAATTACCTTAGTCAGAGATTATTGTCAATTTTACCAGAAGTAACTTTAAATACAACTACTTATGAGATGCTTTTAACAGCAAAAACCAGATACATAAAAATTTCAATTCATTTTAACATATATTGATACTAAATACAAGAAGAATGTGTTTTTAAAATGAATTACCAACAAAATGTTACATTTAAAATCTAAATGAATTACCAGATTTTTTATCTTGTTCATCTTCATCTTCAGACTGTTTTCCTTCTCCTTCACTCTCTGTACTGCTTTCTATAAGTCAAATTTTCAATTTAATGTGATAATACAAGCATCTAGTCAGGTGTAATTTCAAGTTCAATTCATTAATAAGAGCTATATTAAAATAAAGTAATATTTTTTATCATTTCAATAGAAATACACAAGGCTTTCAATTAAAATACTACAATCACAATTTATTAATCAAACAAAAATCATTTCTCATTTTTGTTGAGTGGCTAGCTGTAAAAAATTTATCACTGTAGTTATATAATCACTAACAGCTAATGAAAATAACTATGCAAAAATACTTTTTTTACATTGGATTTTTTTAACCATGCATTCCTCTGTTCTTGTACCTATTAATAAGTAAATTATGTTTCTGAAATATTGCTGTTTTTTAAAATGAGCTATAAGAAAATAATTATTCTAACTTTGAATTGTAGTTCTAATAATCCCAATTTTCATGAAAGAGCTGCAAGTTTTTATTGAAAGATTATGTACTTTCTTTTAAACATAAAAATCTGGCATGAACCATGTATTTCACCTATCATGAAGAGATTATAGTTCATTCAAAATACAACATAATTCTGTAGTTAATGTAACTAAATGACAACTGTATTGAGAATGATGTGTGTTGGAAAGCAGAAGAAAAGATAACAGTTTAACTGATTACCTTCAGAATCACTAGAGTTGCTAGTGTTGCTTCCAGAAGCCGATTTTTCACTAGGTGAAATTTCTCCTTCTGAAGCTTTCAACTCTTCTTCTTCTTCTTCTTCACTAACTACTTCAACATCACTTTGTTCTTCTGTATTCTCTTCTGCAGACTTGGATTTATCTACTCATTAAATATGAAATACAGTAATTGTATACTTTCAATTTTAAAATAATTAAATGTAATAAAAGCACCAAATGGATCCAAGATTTAGCTTATAAAAAATATAAACACATCAGTAATAACTTTCATGTATTTTAATTAACAATGTTATGATATTATCACACTCAGTTTGTTTGTGGCAAAGAGCAAATAGACAGGAAATTAAGCTTTGCAGTCTTCTACAATTACCTGGAAAACATCAAAAGTGAAGGATTAATGAACCATAAGCATAAAGTAACATGAAGTTTAAATACGAAAATACAAGAACTGAATATAAGCAACCATGTAAGTTGAAGCTTAGTAAGTGATGGCAGTCAATGTTACTCAATGGTTGAAATAATTTTTTTTTTATATAAGACTTTGGAATTAAACAGTCTGAAAAAAAAAGAATGGTGTAAAAAATGAAGCACTGATAAAACAAGTTTAAGAATTAAGTGTAAATGAATATATATTTTTATAGCAAGTATTTGAAAATTGAAAATTATATTCAAATAAACTATGTGGAAAAAAATTGAATTTCTTTGCATATAAACTGATGAACAAAAGCTTTAATTGGTTCAGAAATGCATGGTTCACACCAGGAAGAATACAAGATAACCAGAATGCCGATATATTCCTTGAAAAGGATCTCTGAAAGGAAAAATCCCACTTTGGAAAGCTCTATTATTTTATTTCAGTGATGAACTTTGCTAGCCATGCACTAAACAATTGACACTTTGTGTAAAAGGAAATAACATTCTTGGGCCAGTATGGTTTTTAGAATCTATTCTCACATTCTTTGAGATGATAGACATTTCTTAAACACTTGTTTGCCCCATTTGAAAAGGGATTCAACTTTAGAAAGTATTTAAGCAAAGATTTTATTATTCTGTTTAACATGAAGGAAAATCCTTATACTGGAATCAGTGTCTGAAATAATGACTGGCATTTGGAAAATTGTCAATCAAGTATCCAAAAAAAATTTTTTCTTAGTAACTTTTCACATTAAAATGATAATTAAAATCTTTTAATGGGATCATTTGTAACCGAAACATTCATTATTGAAAGGAATTCCCAATATATACTTTTTCTATTCCCAACAAAGAAATATTATAATAATATCAATATCTATCTTGCAATTAAAACAAAACTGAAGTTTAAATAGGAAAAAAATGTACTACAATGAAGGGCTGCCATACTGTGCAATTAATTAATTAATACTTGAGTAAGGAAGCACATTATATTTAGCAAATATAATACTATGTTTTAGAATGGGCAGAAAAATTCTAAATAAATCAATAAGTATGTTGTTTACAGACAACTCTTTGGATCTGTGCAGAAATGTAAGTTTTGAGAGGTTTTTTTTTACATTTCTTTGCCAGCTTATGAGCTTATTATACTTTTGAGTATACAAATTGTTGAAATAGTTAAAATTATTATTTTTACTTATATTTTGAAATTTGATATGTAGATTTGTACTTGACACTTGAAAGGTGTTCTTGGTTTAGAAAGGATTAATTAATATGTTAGGTAAAACAAAATCCTTATTTCAACACTGATTCCAGTGTTCTTTCACACTAACAAAAATCTTTGAACAGTAATCACTGTTGAGGAATACTAATCTCTAAGTTAGTAAAGGGAAGGAAATCTATAGAAAACTGTGCTAGTTATTATCACTTCCTATATTATTTTTACAACATAATTTTTTTAAATTCTTTCCGTCAGTCACAAAACTGCAAACAGCTTTGGTACTATCTTTAAGAAACCAAATTTATTCCTTCACATATAGTTAAGTTTTTATGACTTATTTTTGTTCCTGTTCCTTTACCTAAAAAAGCATATTTCGAGACAGAGATACTTTGGAATATTGTTATTCTTTTATTTAAAAAAGCGACAAAAATAGTTTTTATGACTAATAATTACTTGTAGAAAAGTCATTTTTTAAATGACTTTTTATAGTCATTTCTTTGTTGTATTCAAGTATAAAAACTGAACAGAACTTTCACAAAAAATTATAAACACTGAAAACTATTACAAATACAGAGAATCAATATAATTAACAGTCTTTCATTTTAAAGAATACAAGGAAAGCTATAAATTGCACTCCCTAAATTACTAAGAAGAGTAAATTGTTCTCCTCAGAACAAAAATTCTCCTGTGTAGTACTTATTGACGACATCTTTGATTCTGTATCCAAGCCACACAAAAATTACAACTTTTCATCCAGTGCTGCACAAAACAACTGAACCAGAAAAATCACATGTATGTATCATTAAGTACAGTAGGACTTAATAGTAGGGATTGTGATGAAAGAAAATGGCAGCCATAAAAATCATCCATTTAAAACTACCTTTAACCCTACGACTACTGGCTACTACTGGCACCATTTTTAAGTTCCTTTCTTCACATGGTACTGCACTACAATCAAAATTTAATTAAACCACTTTACTATAAACATATGTCAATGAAAGTAACATTATAAGCTATGTTATAATTTGAATTTTTATTTTATGTAAGTTTTAATTACTTTGCTTCAAAGGAAACCTTTTAAAAAATATTTAAACTGCAGTTTTTGTGTCACATGATCCATGAGCTTTGAAAAATCTTGACCTTAGCAGCCACACGAGCTGGCAATGTACATGAGTTTCTTCTACATGCTAACAATGTATGTTTCACCTAATTGACAAGTGAGATCTAAAGTTCTATTGTATTCACTGGGAAAGAGAAATATATTTTCAAACCAATGACAGTTGCCACCCTCTATATTTTGCTTTAAGATCTATAATGTACATGTAGTGAGTTGACACAAATGTATAGTCATTATAAAGAGCTCAGTTTACACTATACTCTACCAACAGTTAATTTGAAATTGGCATACAGTTTTCTTTATGGTGTACATGTAACTGCTTTTTGTATTGTTGTCTGTTTGATCGACTATGGCACACAAGGTGGATTCTTACTTAAATATGCTAGTTAGAGATACAGTTAAATTGTATTTATGTCTTTCTTTAATATTTTAGTTAATTATGTATTATGTATGTTTTAATAATCATATTTGAACCCTTTAATGATTTTTATATGTTTAACTTGTCACCTGGATTTCAAAAGGTTATAAAAAAAGATGGCATGTATAAGCATCATCTTATTTCGGTAATGTATCTTTGCGGGGTGTCTGCCGAAATACCTCCATAAAGCCCCATGGGCATCAGTTAATGTATGGGCATAAATGCTAATAAACAAAGAATTTGAAAGGAAAATAAAAAATAAACTATAAATGAAAAAATAAACAAGTGAAATTATGCATATAAGAAAAACACAATAATTCTAGTAAATTTCTATGAAGAGTTGAAAGGTATGTACATATTTCCATTTGTTAACTTTAAACATTTCATTGCACTTGTTGATGGTAATAGAATTAGTGATATAGTAGAGATATAGTAATTTGATAGCATAACTTGAGCCACACGTTCCCTGAGTGATCTACAACTTACCATGGCACGGATAGTAGTTAGACACGGTTCAAAGGGCAATAAAACAATAATATTTAATTATAATTAGATGTATACTGTTAAGAAATTAGAGCTACTTAGAATAAACAAATGTGGTTTCATGTTACAATTTGAAGTCATTCTAGAAAGAAAAAAAGGTTATTTAGGTTTATTTCGATTTTCTTTTGGTGGTTATAAGGTCAGTCGAATTGACTGATCCCTTTTGGAGATAGGATAGGGAAAATGACAGATAAACTACAAAATGTTCTTAAAAAACGTTTGAAATGCATTTAGGATGTTTTAGGGATTACACAAAGAAAATCTGAGATTTTTGAGATGAGGAAAAGTATTTTTAATTTTAATATTAAAATTACTTTGTAAATGAACTATTCAAAACAAATGCTCAATATATTTATGGAAAATTTTTTATTTTATTTTATTAAAAATACTTCACTAAAAAATATGGTTTTTTGTGTGTGAAAGTCTTATAATATGAACTGAAAGACTGCCAGATTTTGTGAAGATGTACACACTATATTGAAAGTTAGAAGTATTAAATCTATAAAGACTTTAATCGAGTACAAAAAGGTCATGTGGTCAGTCAAATTGACTGAGCCTGTGTTGAGAGATTTAAATAACTAATTTTTTATTAGAAATAGCACAAAAAATCAAAGTTAAATGTTTTATTTTTCTGAAACTACATACTTTTAGGAATATTCTTGTCAAATTTTAAACAATTTCATCAACTAGTTTTATTTTAGGAATAAAATATGACGAGAGCCATGTTACCTACTAAAATAATTAGTAGTTGATAGTCATAGGGTTAAAAGGATGAATATTAATAATGACTATTTTACAGAATTGGCTGAGCAAAACTAAAGCTTATTGTATTTATAAAGCTGCCTAAATCACTATATATATATATATATATATATATATATATATATATATATGTGTGCGTTTATGGAGTGAATCAAATTTCACTAATTAAATGAATTTTCATCTAAGTAAATTGCTTTTCCAGCCAAGTGTACAGAAAAAAAATGACAAACCTTATTGCTCTAATTCTTTCACACAACTTTTCCATATGGGACCCTAATGATTCCTTTCTTGTACCAAAAAGGATACAAGTATATATACATACATGCAAAATGGATGATGCACTACTTTGGGCATATAATTAGATTTGAGGGTAGATTGGTAAAGATCCTGATGAGTAATAAAATCAAATTGGGTATATGCATACCAAATGTTTGGTACTGCTGGCACATTAAAATATAGCTAGTAAAAAGGAAACAAGCAAGTCTAATAACAAAATTTTAATTTTAAAAAGACAAGTAGGGATTTATATACATACATGATCTAACTAACTATAGTAATATATACAGTTTTAATGCTACAAAAAGTATTGAAACAAGAAAGTCAAAACTACAAAAACTGAATTACTTAAAATTTAAAACATTTTATCCTTACTTTGGCAAATCACTGTAATTATTTTACTTGTGTATGGTATTGGTTGGCCTTCCTCATTTAGAGGTTACATTTCATGAAGAAATAAGTTGTATGCTACACCAGCTCTTTCATGGTGAACGTTCTTGTAAGACTGATACTGATTGGCTTTATTCTAGTTGAATGTGCTTTATTGACTAATCAGAGCAATTTGTTGACCTCCAATTGAAATTTGTCTTAAGGTACATCAATTCGCACGTGCATCGTCGAATCAAAATCACACTGGCTTGAAAGTATGTGATCAAAGTGAATGAAATTCTCATAATTGCCATGCTGATTTGTATTTTAGAATTTTTTTTTAAATTCACTCTTGCAATTTTAAGGAACACAGTTACTTACGCTCCTTGGACATAGTTAAGAATCACGAGGGAGTGTGCTTTTGCTCCTTAAAAGTGATGCCCTGAATTGAACATGTATATCCTTCCTACTCTCAAATAAAAACGTCATTATATAGTTTAACACCATCGATATGTTAATGTTTTATTTATTATGTAGCTGCACTATAACAGAAGAAAAATTGCTAAGCCAATTTAATTTTTTAATATGATTTTTTTTTCATGTAATGGAACTATACATCACAACATGCTCATTACTATTTTAAAAATTCAAGAAAGGCACTCTATTGAATTAAAATCATATAACTTTTTCTTTGCTGTTCATATTTTCTGTGAAACTAAGGTTTTCAAAAACAGTAATTTGGGCTGAATCCTTTCAATGTGGCTGGGAAATATACATCCCAATTGCAGTGAAAGAAGTAAGCAAAAATTCAAATGCCATTTTGTGTTCATGATGTGCTTGATTTACCATTGTTGTTGTTTATATATATAAAAACTAAATCAAGTTTACAATTGCCAATATAAGTCTACATGTGGTTTTTCTTTTATCATAATTTTTTGAATATGCAATGCTATCCAATTACTATTGCAAGACTAATAAAATAATTCATGTAATTAATTAGCAAAATATACAAAAAATATATATTTTTAACTGCACTGTCCCCCTTACCACTTGATATGTTTCGATGCATTATAGATTCTTTCTCTGCTTCTCTGGGTTCCTCTTCATTGTGAGTTGGAACAGGACTTCGACTGCGTTCTCGTCTAGATTTATCAAGATTCCTTTCTTTCTCTCTGTCTTGTGTTTTATCTTTCCTTCCCCCATCTATAATAAAGAAATAAAATAAATCAGCAGAATATAAAAACCTTCATTGAACATAACTACAATAATAAGAAACAACATTCTATTATACGGAATAATCTTAAAGCAGAATATAAAAACCTTCATTGAACGTTACTACAATAATAAGAAACAACATTCTATTATACGGAATAATCTTAAAGCAGAATATAAAAACCTTCATTGAACGTTACTACAATAATAAGAAACAACATTCTATTATACGGAATAATCTTAAATCAACGTTAATTTTTACTCTATAACCAGTGAACTAAGAGCACAAAAAAAGATGCCATGATATTTCATCTATTAGACATCTCATTTCAGAAAGAAAGATCTTTCCTAATTGTTATACTAAATGTATATCTTTATGTGGTTCTAATAAATCTACACAAAAATACAATATTGCATACATTATAAGAATTTTGAATAGACATGTGACAACTGCAGCTAACATAAAGTGAATGTACTCAAGGCAAGTAAACAACATAATAAAGAAGAATCTTCATCTACAAATGAGGTCAACAGTGTATAGGTTCATCAAGCTTCCAGTCATACCATCTGTTCAACCATTGCATACCTCAATTCATTAGAAAATGAAACAGGTATTCTTGCTATTTCATATAAAGACATACTGATCAGATAAAGCATGATTAGAAATGGCAACATTGACTGTAACAATGAGGTGAGGCTTTAAAATAATTTTAGCATAATGTACTGAACACTCAGTAGAGTTAATTCTATCCATTTTTTTTTCAAAAGTGAAATTCAAAACTCAAATAAATATCTAGGTAGTAATATGTTATTATTGAAATAACAAGTTACATCATTTTAGTCTTCAAAAGTCACCCCATGACAACTTGAGTCCTAAAACCTTAAATTTATTCTTTTTACATTTCATAATACAGCACTCATAGTAGTATTTTAATGTTTCATCTTAGCAAATAAGTACATTAATATTTAATACTGTTCACATTATCTTAAGCTTAATATTCATCTGAAATAAAAAAAATTGATGCCTTATTTTTTAATACATTAATTTAATTAAAATTCTCAAAATGAATATGCCTAGTATATAAAAATTTTAGTTCATTTACGTACACTCTTTCTGAAGATGATCTCTTCCAATTTCTTCTCGTTTTTTACTATCATGCTGCCTTTGGCGCTGTGTCTCAGCTATCATTAGACGATCTTTTCTCCATTTCTGCTGTATTCTCTCCCTACAATAAAGTTTCAATATTAGATACTAACAAAAATTTATTGATGAGGTAACTGGAGAAAAGGAGTCATTAGCACAACTTAATGTTTTGTACATTGGTGAAGAAGGAAAATAATATCTGTAATTAATAATTGATTTTAAGTATATAAGTAGCAAGAATTGTGGTACTGATAAATTAAATGTACACTACTTCTGGGAGAGGACATTTTTCTTTGGTCTTTGCACTTTGAACAATCCACATAAGACTTTACATTAAAAACTTAACTCTCTAATACTTATATACAAATATTAAGATTAAAATTTAAAGAAAATGGTCTTATAGACCAACAGTGATCATTCACATGTGCTACTGAATGTTTGTTTCATCCTATTTTCCTTAGCTTCATTACTAATTTACTTGACAAAACAAAGTGGATATTTCTAGAGTAAAAAAAAAAAGACTGCCCAATCTAGAATAAAACTAGAGCTCTAATGATTATCTATCAGCATATTCAAAGACCTGCAGAAATAACATTTGCAAACAAGTGTTTTTACAGTATCTGGTCTCTCTATGATTGTTGATTGACTGCTCTACTATGAGAGGAACTATTATTAAGGATGAGGTACAACTAGTAGAAAGACTAAACATAAAATTGAAGCTATCTTCAACTCAATTAAATTAATGTAAGAACATAAACTAAAATGGTTCCAAATACTACAAGTATGCTATTCTTTTGCTCGAGCTTTCTCATTCAACAAGTTAGAAAAATTACCTGCAGGGCAGACAATGAGCTTAAATTAAGGGCAACACATTTTGATTTTTCTGTACAAGACAACTGAAGGTCTTGACCAGCTGGATAACCATGAGTAAGTGATACCCAGGCTTTTAGCCAGTGACCTGTCTGCCCATCTTTTGGATGGGCAAAACTTTGATCATGAGGATGATGAGACAGGCACAACCAAAATATGTTTGTCTACAATACAGAAAATAAAAAATATCTTTATATTTTACTATTTAATAAAGTATTAAATTCTTTATACTTTAGAGTTAATACTTTAGAGGTAACTTAAAATAAATGTGGTCATTTAGACCCTTTATGTAACCTTCTCAAACTAATGAAAAAATCTGTGGAACAACAAAGAGTGAAAGACATTATAGTTCAAATCCATAAACTCTTTGAATTATTATTTTTCAGTTATAAGTAATTAACAGTATTCCTTATATTATACAGTTGATTCTGATAAGTAGTCATCCAGTGTTTCAAAGAAAGTAAAAATTGAATCGTAAAGGTTATATTTCACAAAACTGTTGAAAAAGTATACAGACAGGCACATTTAATATAGTATACACACAAATTTCTTATTTCACCTGATACTAGCTTTTTTTAACATTCAGTATCTCACCTTATGGCTTCATCAGAAACTATCAAAAACATACACAACAAAGGGTTATTTGAAGAATACACAAAATATAATTACTGTTTTACAGAAAGCAAGAGCTGCTAATATACTCAGACAGAGGTTTTCAAAAGTCATGCCTACACACTCACTCACTGGTGTATGCATGTATTGTTGTTTTAAAGCTCATACTTACATGTTGTCCTTATATACTGGTGAGGGTCTTGAAAGGCTATCACACTTACTTAAGTGTATGATATAATTTCAGTCAGCCTGAAGAAGCCATAAATCAAACTACTGAGCATTAAATAAGTTATCTGGAGAAAGATGTGTCTTGAGGAATGTGTAAGTGGAAATACTGAGCATTAAAAGTTGTTATATTGAGAAAGAATTCTTAAAACAAAATACGGAGCTTTAAAAAAGTTTTTACCTAGAGATAAAAGTTGGTTTGTATATTCACTATATCAAACATGTGAAGTAAAAAACTCCAGCCAGCATTCCTTAAAACTAAGAACACAAGTACATAAACAGACACACAAGGAAGTCCAATCTCACTAGTCTTTCTCTATGATGTAAATTCTTATAATTACATGTTCTTCACATTTGAAGTAGGTAAAGTTTAAATACTATTAGTACACCTGAAATATAATCTGCCTAAGATCAAAAGGTAAATAAGGGAAGTGTCTTTCCTGTAGACAGCCCTGGCTGGAAAAGGAAGGGGAAGTATTTCTTCACTGAAATAATCCAAGGAAATAATAACACTAGAAAAGAAGGGATTTTTACCAAAAACATAACATGTGTTGTAAAAAAATATTAAAATTTATTCAAATTGTGAAAAGATGTAATACTTTTAATCATCAATGTTCTTTATAGTGTCTTAAACATTAAATCACACAAGGAAGAACATGTGTAACAGCTGTAGAACAAAGTCATATGTTAGGACTTGTTAAAGTTGCAAGTAAACTACTAAGAAACAGCAAATGTAACAGATTTTAAATTTGATATTTTTAATCTGAAAAGCATCATATTTGATTCAGGACTAAATGGCCAGGTCAGAGATCTCGAGGTTCAGAGATATCCATCCCTAATTTATAACATTTCACTGCCGGAGGGGCAACCACTTAAATGACAACCTTTAACTGAATAGCAAGATTCTGTCACAGTTGTAATGATCCCATCACAGAAAGAGCAGAGAAATGTTCTGTGGCATATCACTGCTTAACCCTATCGCTACAGGTCATGGGCCATGTCATCATGTTTGTTGACTTGCATTCAAAATTTTATTAAACTACTATTTTATGAATTATTCATATCAAACTGTAGATTATAATCAAATTTTAGTACTATACATTATTAAATTTCTTAATTTAAAAGTAAATATAAAAAAAAACACTTAAACATAGATTTTTGTTTGTCACATGGTATGTTGAATGCAGCATTGGTTCAAATTAGATGTTTGTGATGTTAAAATACAAAGTCTACAGTTTCGTAGGAATTAGGAACTCAACTTACCAATATTAAGCTAGAATATAAAATAAGAACCTCCTATATTTTCTATTTGCTGAGATATCACTCATGTACTGAATCAAACACAGTGGTCCCACTCGCTTCTTTCCATTTTTGGAAACAGTCCCTTATATACACTTACTTGTATATATGACATGAATAACCAATCAAGAGCTCAGAATGTCCCCATAGTGGCTTTCTCAGCCCTTTTCATGTGTTAGGATGCCATCTCATTCTTTCAAAACAAGATCTCAAGGAGGTAGGTTGTGTCTTTAGTCTGCTCGAAATTTAATATTTTTTTAGACCCAAATGTAGCTTATTTACCAAGCTTGTTAAATTATAACGAAATTCTATGGTATCAATATTGTAATTTATGACTTTGTGGTTATTTAAATGTATATATAAAACCTAAAAAAATTATTTCGTTTCCCATCCTCTACATGCAAAATTTCTTAAGGCTTATTAGCAAACTACAAGAAGCAGCAACCGAGTACAAAGGTTGTAACTAGAAGAGATAATTGTTTGCTTTACTTCTTCATTTACTGATATATGTTTTAATAAAAATAAGTTTAAGAACTTGTTTGTAAATAGTAATAATCTATATACATATATAATGTATAAGAATTGAAATGTGACTGTATTTTACAAAATACTAGTCCACCAAAAGACAGCCAAGACATGTCACTAAAGGTCAGTTTTATATTATTGGATACAGTAACATGAGTGCTCGTGTGCCACATCATAATAACTTCTGTATTGTTAGCTAGGCACGGCTGAAAGGTAAATATAATAAAAATAATAAATATATATAAATGTATAATGTTATGAGATTTAAGCTATTCGGACTAAACATTTGTGTTTCTGTGTTATACTTTGTAGACATTCTAGAAGAAAAAAGCATAATTTATATTTACTTCCTAATTTTTTATGGTGGTCAAATTGACTGTATACGCCCCGTATCGTTAGGGTAGAGAAAATAACAGACAAAATATAAAGTTTTACTGAAAACAAATGATTAAAATGTATTTAGGAGGTTTTAGATATTACACAAATAATATTTTAGATTTTTGTGACAAAACATAGTATTTAATCATGACATAAAAATCACTTCATCCTTGTACTGGTAATGACACAGACTCGATATTAAACAGATCTTTAGTAAAAATACTTCATTATAAAATCTGACTTTTTGTGTACAAAAGATTTGGAATCATTACTAAAAGTCTACCAAATTTTGTAAATATACCATTACAGCATTAAAAGTTATAGTATAAATACGTAACGTGTGCAAATGTGTATACGAACTCGTGTATTTTATACCGAGCCTGTCACGAAAAAAATTAAAACTTGTATCTTTCAATCAGCAGCCTAGCACACTAACTACTAGGACACACTCTGACCAATAGATGATGAAATAATTTTCACTTTCACACTAGAATAACCCTAAATTATTAATGATCTTCAAAAATAAATAAAGTATTCACAATGTGTTTTGAACTCAAACACACAGACCCACTCTTTATAGTGATGATTTTTATGCTAACTTAAAATAACATAATATAAGCTAGCACTGGCCAATAAACTAATAGGCTTCATCAAGGCATTTTTGTTACACATTTTCATATATAATTATGAAAGCAATAAGTATTCTTAAAGATGCCTCATGATTTGAAAACTTTATGTAGATTATAGTCAGAAAAGTAGGATATGAAAATATTCTTTGAATATGAAAAAACTATGAAAAACTTATTTGAAAATATCTGTGTTTTAAATTTTTTGCATCCGTGTGGACATTTATTGCCGAGAATTTGATGACGAGGAACCCACTTTGAGACGGCTTCATTACCCATTTAAACTGTCTTCAAGCATTATTGCTGAGAATGTTTGTAAGGGCCTTATTTCAGCTATTATGCTGTCTCGAAATTATAATTATACATTTCAATAGACTAGATGAAACGAAAGATCTTAAAGAAAACTTAATACCTACTGCTTCCCATGTGACTGTTCTTTATTACATAAATGAAGTAAATATTTTTGAATTTTTTTACTACCTACATTCTCTTCAAATTTCTTGCACAACTTAAACAAGAATAGCATAGACCATCAAACAAAACAACATATTTGAGGATATTGCATGACAAATGTGCTTTGTGTAACATTATTAAATTTATAATTCCACTCCTTGTATATTTAACAATCTGTATCATGAAATTAACCAAACATGATTTTATCACTGTCAACATTTGAGAAAAAAAAAGTCTATAATACAATAAAGGAAACAAATGTTCAAGATTTTATGGATTGCTTTGATATTTGTTAAGACTCTTTTACTAATTCAATTAAATAACAAATACACATTACATAACAGCATGTCACTCAATTTTCTTTTGTGTCCAGATGAAACTTTTATCTAGAATAAGAAGTACATGTGGGTAACAAAATGAGCTTCACAACAGCATCATAGCAAAAAGTCCAAGACTTTTCTGTAACTAGTTGCTATTACTATTTCTGGCCTTGACCAGTGAAGATGGAATAGACAAATCTTGAAATCTGGTATACTTACAGAACCTAGGTACTGGTTATTCCATTTGTAACCCATTAAAATTACTGTAAAATACTTTTAAAAGGTAGCCCAAATGCAAAATTCATCACAAATAAACAACATATTATACTTAAATAAAGTTAAAACACTGCAAAATGCATATTCGGTTGATTTCTTTATTACACAACTAGAGTACTTCATGAGGTCTTGCATGTGATTTTTAAAACCAAAAAAAAAATATTTCAACAAAAACTAGCACAATAATTTTATAAAAATAATAGTTTATCTTACCATGCCTTCATCTTTGGACTTCTTGTGATGTCACTATAAGGAATTATAAAATTTAACAAGCATCTTTAAATTGAAATTAATATGTATACATGTATCTAGTACATTTAAGCAATTTTTATTTCCACTCCATGATTACAAATATGTTGAATCAACCAAACACAATAAACTCCTCAATAAATAGACAATGTTAATCCTTTGAGTGAATAATTAAATTTTGGGTGGGTTCTTAAAACGTTTTAGTACTTTTTACATATCAACAACGTTGTGCTTTTTCTTGGTGATGTACACATGCATGGTACTAAGGCAGGAAATTTAAGGACGTGCGAGTATCCTGATAGTCGCACTATGAAGAAAAGTTTTTGTTACACCATGGGGGTAAATCTGCTTGTCGTACCAAATGGCTATAAATGTCAAGTCGGATAAATCCGATCATAGCATCTAAAAGTTAAAAATATGTTTGGAATTGCAAAGTAATCACAAGTAGAGCATTTGAGCTTGAGATTGAGTGCATTACATTGTAACCTTGACAAATAATTTGATTTTATGATGCAAGATAACTGCTAATTAAAATAATGTAAATAGAATTAGGAAATATATATAATAAAGTTGACATTACCAGGCACTAAAAACTAAGTCTCCAAACAGTTTAAAAATAAAGAATGGAAGCTCTTTGGTAATTACATAAAAAATAAATCTTTCTCTGTCAAAAATTAAATCAGAATGCAAATATCACAAATTTAAAGTTACTGTACAATCATTATTAATCTTGACCTCATTTTTCATTTAACACAGTGATAGCTGTGTAACATTCATCACATCAACACAGTATATATATTGTTTCATGTTAGAAGTAAACAGGATTGATTCCCACACTATCAGCAGAAAAATCAAGAATAATTTCAGAATTTCAAGAATTATTTTGTGATTTTTTCTTATAATTTCTAGTATAAAATATGTACACAATTACTATGACATTTTATTTAAAACTACAATGTTAAAGTTATTACTAGCAGTGTGATTTGTTTACTTTGACAATGCTTGTGTCATGCAAAGTTCTATTATAGTCTCAAAAACAAAGAAAACTTTAGTCAAAAACATTACAGCTTAAATGAAAAAGTATGAATGATGTCCAAAGTAAACTTGTAACAACTATGTTTGGGGGCATATTCATTAAGGAGAACTGACCCTACAACTATTGATGCCCTAACATTCTATGCCTTATATGAGTAATTTAGAGACTTACTTCAAAAATACTTGTGTAAAGTCAACACATAGTCAGCATAGGTGTTGAGTTGCAAATATATACACAAATTTACTAATATCTAATTATGATGTAGTCTCTGTTGTATGGCTCTTTCTGATTGGGTCAAGCTATACATAGGTTGGTGGCATACATCATGCAATCTGACAACATTAGACATGTTGCAACTTAAGCTAAATTATGACTAGGTGACAAGTAGACCAAATGACCTAAGTATGCAAAGAAACACAACACTGGAATTTTCAGATTTTGAAAAATTTTATTTTCCCTAAATCCTGTGTAGATCTTCCAGACAAAGAGGTTATTAAATGAAATTCTTGAATATTCCCTAATTTATAGAATGTGTGGGAATCCTGAGTAAATGTATTAGTTTGTTGCAGAAATCACAAGCACAAACAATACATTTTTAGTTGTGATCTATAATCATATTTAAAAATAACTCTGACACTAGAATGTTTTTTCTACAAAGTTTTAAAAATGAGAAGTTTGAATGTTTCAAGATGTGTAGGTTAGTGATTTCAAAATCCAAATAAGTTTCCTTGTAAAACAACAGACTTTTGCCATGTAAAAACTTTCTCATATACAGTTTTTAATCCGGTATAGAATAGATAGAAAATTCCAAACTATACTACTGTATCATGAAAGTGTAAATACTACATTTATTTCAGACTGTTTCTAATGTTGTAAGACAACCTCATTTTTGCATCACTGATCCAATCCCCCCCCCAAACAAAGGACCAACTTCAGCAGTCTGATAAGTTTGGTTTTCATGTAGATTTCAATAAGATATTTGTTTATTCCTTCAATTTTGAACCAAAATTCTAAATTCCATTTCAACTTTTTCAATTAATTGTTCAAGAATATGTCTATCTTGGTACTTCTAACTCAAAATTTTGATAAAATTAGATTTTTAATATATAAAACAGCACACAAGCATTTCAACTGTTATGAGAAAAGAAACATCTGAAATACACCACCGAACACACACACATTTAGCTCAATCATAGACACTGCTTCCCATACAGTTTACTATTATAGATTTTTATTTTAAAAAATAAGGTATTCACTAGGCAACAGAATATTAGCAAATTTTAAAGTTACAATGTGTGAATTTTTCTCTTAAAAGCGCAAGAACAAGGTATTTTTATACCAAACATGTTATATTTTTCAATTAAAATATTCAGACAATATACCCCAAAACAAGTAATGTTACTTACTGTTCTCTTTCTTTGGGATCCTTGTCTCTGACTCTCTCTACGAGTCGCACTTCTCTCACTTCTCTATTATCTCGTATCTCTCTAGGCTGTTTTGCATCCCGTCTCAGATCATCTCGACGTCTGTGTCTACGGGAATCTTGTTCCCTAATAATGCTTCTTCTACTAAGTTCAGACATTCTATTCCCTCGCCCCTCTCGGTGAGATTCCCTATCTCTTTCACGGCGACGATCTTTTCGACGTGCTAAAGACATTATGCAATGTTGTTGCTTTTAACAAAAAGAGTCACAGTATATTGAAGAGCAGACATTAATCTACCAGTAAGATGTGAGAATTATTTAATTGATAAATTGTGCAAACAAACTGTAAAAAGTTTATGCATTATCTCCCTAACCAGAGAGATTCTAATTCTACTGTTATAGTAAATTAAAATATACATGCATTTCATAACTTCTATTAAAAAAAACAAAAAACTCAAGAAATGTTTCTTTTTAAAATTAATGCATAAGGTTTTAGCTTTAGGCCTATATTAGGCTATACTCATGTGGAACTGGAGCAAAGGTTCCATGCACTGGAAGTAGAAAAATTTAAATATGTTTGATAACAGTTGTAAAACATACGTATTTTTATTCTACTTTAAGAAATATGTATGGCTCCATGTTCAGAAGAGCCTTCACTTATTTTAACAATTCTAATTTAATTATTAGTTTTTACCTATAATACAAAGAATAGAAAATATTAATGGCAAAAATAAGTACTTCCCATAAAAATATCACAGCCAGAGATTCTGAACCAACAAAAAATTTTCAATTCACAAAAACCTCTACTAGTTTTTTAAAATTGTCTTTTAATAACCTAACATTTAGTCAATGAATTCTTAACTTTAACTCCAATATTTTTTATTAATATCATTATTATTAATACAAATAATTGTGTTTATTTTAGCAAATTGATGAAAAATATCAAATTAGCATTAATTTATGTAAACATTACAACTCTAAGCCAAATTTTCCATTCTTGCATAAAATTTAGTAACTGACATTTTTACAAATCAATAACAGCATCTATTGTGATATTCTTCTGTAAAATTTAGTTATTAATTGAAGGAAATGTGCCAGAGAAAACTTTTAAGGATCAATTGCAAAGGTACTATTTTAAGTATTTAACTTTTAAAAGTGAAGAATTAATGTACTTTATTAAGTATATATTCACAAAAACAACAACAAATGATAACATGGGAGTCTTGGTGAACTATTTAGAATTTTACAGTTGCAGCTTTTTATATCATCAAATTAAAATAAACTGATATATAAGGAGAGCATTTTTTTATTTTTAGTTTTACAATTTAAAAAAAAAAAGAGTAGGAGATAGGTGAAAAAAAGATTTTAGCAATATGGTTACACCAGCCAAACAGAACTTTTATGGACACACAACTGTACAAGAATGTGTAATAATAAAGCTCACCTTTTTGGGTTAGAAGAACGATGGCGATGCAGAGATAAAAAAATCAAAGAAATCTATTTATTTATTTTTTTATGCTTGGTTATTCCTGAGTCAGAAATAGAAAAAAAATATATCACAAATATTTTATTTTTATCTTGGACTTTCGTAATCTAGAGTCGGCGGAATTGTAAAACTAAAAATAAAAAATGCTCACATAATAGAGGAATTCATATTAAAACACTGACAACAAGTATACCTAATGAAAATTATTTTTGGCCAGAAACAAATACAAACAGTTTTAACATAAAAAATTTATTTTGTATATTTTAACATCTTACATCAAACAATCATAATCTAAACTTTAGCATGGAAAAAATCTTACATTCATGCTTATGAGCATGACGATCTCTCTTTCTTTCACGCCGACTAGAAGAGTCTTTGCTTCTCTCAACCTTCACAGCTGCTTGAGGTGGTTTAATGTCCAATGAGTCCTCAGTGGCTTCATCTATCTGGTCACTGAAAAACAAGCACAGATAATACAGATAACTAAATTGAAAAAGGCATGTTAAAAAGCATGATTCAGATGAAATCTTACATTACTGTAGGATTATGAATAATTACATACTTGGCAATAATGAACTTAAAATAGACAACAAAGAGTTAATTAATAATCATATACATTGTACAAACAAAATACTAATATTATAAATTTTAGTACAGTTGTTTTTATAATAAAGTAAGATCATTCGTACATTTGTTCTTAATACTACTAATACTGAAACAATATACATTTCCAACTATAAACTGATCTAATTGTTAAATAATTTTCTACAAAAAAAAAAATTGGTTTACTTGATCAATGGTGTGGCATAATGTACATAAGATTATATTCAAAGTAGTCTTTACAAATCTTTTTGTTATTCCACACACTACATTAGACTTTAAAGATTTTTTTTCAAGGGGAATAATAAACATACATGAATAAGATGCTTAAAATATTTCTTGAAAAAGTAAATATGAAACTTCCTAAACTTTAACACAATTGATATAATTGATTCAAATGCATTCATGACTTGCTAAACTCCAGTAAAATTGTTATGAGGACATCAAGTTTATAGGCATTTAGCCCAATAGTTTCTTAGACAAAACTGATTTCACAATCAAAATATACTTATAGCAAAACCTCTTAAATGATTAATATTTGAAAGTAATTTAGTTTTCACTACCATTTATTATAATTCAAAAATGTTTATTTCAAATTCTATATAGTTTTTATTCAAAGAGGAATTCTTATAAAATAAATTATTTAAAAGAACACCTTTCTGAATGTTGTTCTTCAATCTCCATATCTTCATGTTGAGAATGGATCTGAGATAATATTGGGTTTTCATCTTTTCCTATTTCACCATCTTCTTCTGATTCAGTATACTCCTTATTTGATTGATTGCTAGCTTCTGAGTGAGACATCTGAAAAATAAAGCATTTCTTATTATCTTAGGAAGATTTTTCTGGTATTAATACCGTACAATATTATTTGGTACTTACCATGAAATTATAACTGATCAACCAAATAAATAAACATGGTATGGATAAATCTACAACCTATGACATTAAACTGCTTGCAAAGAACAGATCACTTTATGTCAGTCACATTGCAATCAAGAGCTCTCTATCACAGGCCAAAAACTATAATGTTCCAGTTCTATACTAAAAGCTGGATAAACAATGGAATGAACAGGCACAATATTTGCAATAAAAATCACACTTAGTGAAGTCAAAAGGGAAGACAGAAAGCAGCATATTAAGAACATTCTAATTGGGCCATTAGACTGTCTTACTTTAGAAAGTCTGTGGTTGTATATAATTAATTAAATCACAATATATATCATTGCTGTGGGATTAATTCTCCTGTAAAATACAGCTCTATCTTTGGTTTGAAAATTTTATGAATTTTGAAAAAATAAAAAACTTGTGAGAATAGCTTCGAAACACTAGTGCTTCCCTTTACAAAGCATCAATAAATTTGCAAGAGACTTGTGTACGAAACAAAAATCAGGAACTAAGATCATATAAACATTTTTTCTTACAACTAAAAATTCTTAAACTTTATCTACTTTATGTTAGTAGTCAGTAAGTTCCAAATGATTGATTCTATGGATGATTACTGGGTAATCAGCACATCATCCTATTAATGGGCTCCCTCAAGAGACTATTTTGGGACTTTTAATCTACTCATTTTGAAGATGGATATTCTTAGGCAATAAGGATCCAAATTTGTTGAGGAAACTTTTTTTTTACAATCCAACCAAATCCATTTGTACCATATTCTAATGACATCATTTTGTAAGTTTTCCACAATGATGAAAAATCTTGTTGGAAACTAAAAATACAAGCTTTGTGCTCTACATGTTAAATGTCATTTTCCAACACTGTGAAGTAAATGAATAGTGAGAGTTTTGTCTTGTAATATTTCCTGTTATATTATTCTTGACATTCATAGAAATCCGTAATATTTATTTCCTATAAATTTGTGTTTGGTAGTGAAAAAAGACTGGAGACAAAAATTTTGTTATTAATATCATAAGCAATGAAAGTAAGGAACTTGTGTATTATCAAGAAATAAAGTTCATTAAAGTCTATAGAGTACCCAACATGAATGAACTTAGTTCTGACTAACAATACATAATAGTATGCTTTTTCATTACAGACATGTGTTAATAAGCAAAAGAAAAAGTCCATCAGACAATTCACTCACTTATTATAATTTCAGAAAATTAAACATATAGCATATTTGAAAGTTGAAATACACTAATTTCCTTTATACTTATCATTCTTTCTAACATGTTATGAGATACAGTCTTTACTTTTGGTCTAATAAATATAATGCAGATACTGATGAAAACACTTCTGTAATTCAGAAAGGCCTAAGCAGTCCAAGTGAAAGGCCTAGAACTGTCTTACAAAACTGAGAAAAATAAAGTGATGTATTTGAGATACAGAAATGCATAAAACCATTCACATAACAGAAGAAATGGGCAGTGGTCAATGTTACGCTGAGTAATTAACTCAATCGATATAACAGATTACCTATGAGCTTGATTACTGATTATTGTCTGGTAAAATAATTGATTAAACTGAAATTCTGATTAAATTAATTAATGTCACAAAAATAATCACTTATCAAAATTAGTGTTTTTGATTATTCCAACTATTCAAGTATTTTTAATTGATCAAAGGGTGTTCAGCTTAATCAGCTAGTATCATGACTGATGAAATGAATCAAAGTTAACATTCTGATTATTACCATTCCCTTTATTTGAGAAACACTGTACTAATGAATTAATTGAATACTGAGGTTGTCATTGATCAATTAGGAAATACCACTAATCATCTACTTTTTACCCAACAGACTATCCTATCCACATGCCATACTAGAGAATCACCTACAACTATGACCTCTTTAAGCTTTTCATTTCCATCCCAATCTGTCCCTTTTGCCTTTTGTTTTCCTTTCCTCTCATAGTTCCTCATCTGCAAAAGCTACAGTCTGAAATCTGTTACTTAACAGAACCTGCTTATTGTAATTAAATCCACTATTTCTAGCTTTAATAGTACTGCCTCTAAGTTCCTAAAAGTCATTAACTACTGTATCCCTTACATGTAAAAGCTTAAGTTCCTTCTGAAAATCCTACTGCCATTTCCCACAGTTTACCCTTCTCTTTATCTATCACCTTTACTCATATTTAGTGTAGCATCCAATTTCTCCACCAACTTGCAAGCTCTACAAACAATCTACACATTTTCATTACTAACTCCCTTAAAATGCATGTCAGTCCTGAGTTTCCAAGTTAAACCCATTCCTTGCACCCTTTACACCATACAAACTGAGAGTACTTAACATCTATACTACTCGTAACCATTGTTTCTGGGAATAAATAATCAACATTAAATATAGTTTTAAAATAATTTTATTTTGAAATTAATTACTTCAGGCTTTTATATCACCATTATCACATAACTGCAGACAACAAAAAATCATCTTGTCTTTCAAGGCTGTCTGTCCACCCTTGAAAAAAAAACAGAAAAAATAAACCCATCCTTTTTCATGAAATAGCTTCCACTCTTAAACTCTTCTAAAGTAGTGGCCTTCACCAATATCAATAGCAACTGATTCCATAAACCAGTCACCCTGTTATAAAAATAAATTTGATTTAACTGGAGCCTATTCTGGCTTTTCTAAATTTTAAACCTGTCCCATTATAGTAGTGGACTGTACAACATTTTCCACTTCTTTTAGTTTAAAAGTTAACAAAATTTAGTTTTTTTCCTGTAGTTCCCTGGATTGAAACATGGTATTGCTAAAACAAGTTTCTAACTTTACCCAAGGGCAAATGAGATCAAGTGGAGATTAAGTACTTTATGTCTGAATCTCTCGCAGAAATAACAATGTGCTGTTTATTTAGCTAGCCCAGTTATTATTGTTAGTGAATCAGGCAATAGTTGCATGTGGACTTATCCATAACCTTCACTGACCATTGGTTGACTGATCTAACAAGCACCAATCACGGCTTTCTTATGTCAGAAACTTAATAGTTTATTGCCATATTTAACAGTGTTTAGACCTGGGAGAACAGATTCTTACAAAATTGTTACCAGGTTTATCCACTAATTTTCCACAGATTTGTCAAAGATTCTTTAGCAGATCTTCAAAAGACTTTGTGAGATTTCGAATGAAGGTTCTACATCGATGTTTGGCAGTTTTGCATGTGGTTTACAAAGTTTCTTTGGGTTACTTAAAGATAGTTCAGTTAGATTAGTAGGAACTCTCCACGGCAACTGCTTCTAAATTGCAATGTGATATTTTTTAATGCGAGAATTTGCAGTTTTGTTTTGCATAGGTCTCATGCTTGGTACACAAAACTCTAACATAGCTGTATACATGCTGTTAGAATGTGAGAACAGGTAGCATGACCTGGTAGATCTAGAACATATGAAATATTACATTCTAGAAGTATTTAACTTTGCTTGAAGAATTTCATCTTTTTAGTTGGCTTTCCAAATCAGAATGCATGGTCCATCTGTATTCCTTTAGTTATGACAAATGAATGTGAACATATTGCATGGATTAAATAAAAAACAACAACAATTTCTGAGGAAATTAAACTTTACATGAGGGAATGTAATCTTCCCAATAGCTTTTCCCTCGAGTGAATGTAATTTTATTTCACTATTTCTATCCCTACATTAACTTTATGATAGTTTCCTAAGCATGATCTTCCATACTTCCAACATACACTGTTTAAAACAAAACATATTTTAGTGCTAGATTTTCTTGCTGTATTATCTAGGTATTACATTGAAATTGACCTCAAATACCAATCTGCTCATCTCACTGATAAAGGGTAGAGAGGAACTTTCTAATCTGACTTTATATGCCATGTCCCAGGGTATCAGGAGTATTTTTACTATATTTATTATTTTATTACTGATTATTATTTCCCATGTACCCCCAAAGAACTACAAAACACCTGAGAATTACCATATATGAGTGTACAGTATAACCCAAGGTATAATGGTGCCTTTGGACATGGTGTTATGGGTCATTTGTGGATTAATAAAGAACATAATATTAAATACTGTTTCAAACAATGCTTTATTATGTTTTTTTCACCAAACTCAGAATAAAAAATAGAATATCTATAAACAAAACTGTATGCACATGCATCTGATAAGTAGTATGGCTATATCCTTGTCATGCACTAAACTACAGGCATTTTGTTGCTTATTATGATTCTGCATGAAAAATCCTAAGTTTCATACCTTTTGTGGGTTCTACCTTATAAATAAGCATAAAGCCATAGTAAAATATATAGTCATGAATCTGAAGCAGACAACAACAGCTGCTGTCAAGATTTATGTATTCAAAGGAATCATATAGGTTGTCTGAATTGGTGCCTTTTGCTTACCAAAAAAGAAAGATTACTATCTGCCTAACTCTAAAATGTATACTAATAACCTGCTATGCCCATATGTTATAATTGTTAAATTTCAGCTTGAATTTATTTCCTCTCGAAATATATAAATTATTTTAAAATATATTTTGTAGCACTAAAAATTTCATATATCTTCAAAACGTTTATACGTATATATTTTATCGAAAGTTGTTAGGCAATTATTTAATAAAGAAGAAATATGCAAGTATGTAGCAAATCAACAAAATGATATTGTTATTAGTCTGGCTTTGAGCAAAATGGTGTAGGGCTTGGACCTACACAAGTCTGTTTGACAATTCTGATAGTACTGCAAGTACAAGTCTCATAATAACAGACCACTAAACATAAGCTAGTTACTCTGTATTATATATTGGCAGTGTATAGTAATATTAATATAGAACTAGTCTATTAGCATTACACTGTTCAAATTACTATAATTTATGCTACTTTCTTAACGTTTTTCAAAGCTAATAGAGCTCTATTGTCTTGAGAACTTTGTTGTTGTAACTGGGGTTAACCTGAGAACGGAATAACTAACTAAACTAGAAATCAGGTTCAGAACCGGTTAAAACTACATAAACTAATAGTAATAGACATGAATAACTAAGAGTATTGAAGTTCAACTTCAAAATAATCTTATGGAAAATGGTTAAGAGTTTTGCTTTAGTTTAAGTTTATAGTTATACTTATGCGTAAAATTAAAACTTACGTTGTAGCTACAGTTTGTTACTGTTAAAGTTTACCTTATCGAAAAACTAGACAAAAAAATAACTCACAGCTCTTACAGGATACCCTCAATTATAAAAATTAAAAAAAATATTTATTAAGATACAATTGACATTATCACAGTATCTCAACTAAGCCTAAATCTTTAAATTTTTCAACCAACTATCACGCAAAGCGACCTCTAACTGATACTACTGTTTTACGTAACCTAATATTTCGATCAAATTTACAGTTTTAAGATGGACAAAATAGGTGAAACTGAGGATTTCTAATTCATAGATTTTAAGAGACATTAAATATATTTTTGCTGTTTATTTCTACCCTGTATCCCTTACAGAAAAACACAATTATATTTAAATTCAACTGAAAGTTGATAAATAAAAAAAATCAAAAAACACGTCAAATACTCCTTAGGGGTAATACAAAAAAAAAGAAAAAAAAAAGAAGAAACAGTGAGGAATAAATTTGTCGTTAATTGAACTTACTTACTAAGGTGCCACAACAACAACTGTAATCAATCAATTATAGTTAAGAAACATTTATAATGAAAGAATTATCTCGTGCATATAAGTTATATTCTGATTATTATTTTCTTTGATGTTGTTGTTAAGCGCACAGCTACACAGTGGGTTTCTTGAGCTGTGCCCACCGCAGCACGATCGATATCCTTAATTTTAAGTGTTAAAAGCTATCAAGTCGGCCGTTAAGCTACCAGCAGGCTTATATTGCAAAACAACAACAACAAAAAACAAAAAAAAACTGCACCGCACCAAGGCTTCCAATCCCAAGAAACTTTCAATATCAGTGTTTTTCATGTATTATTGAGTTGTTCTTAAATTCCGTTCTTACTTTCTTTAGTATGTTTTCTTATTTATATTTCCTATAAAATGTACTAAGATTTAAGAAACCCCATTATAAGTCTCCGCATTATGAGTCTCAATCTAACTCTCTCTATAATACACAATGAACCAAGCCCTAAATACCTCTCTCCTCTAAACATCATAAATAAGAACCTTACAGGCCAAACAGTGCTAGGTTAACTGAATCCTAGACACAAACGTAAAAGGGTTTTGTACGTAAAAATAGGATTATGTCTCTGTGTATATGACTGCTAAGTGGAACTGTATTGTGAACACGGACTAATAGTGCGATCATACATAAGCGAAGCTAGTAAAAATATACAAATTAATTTTACCCCATCACAAGGGAATGTTAATTAAAGATGCGGATAATGGACAGAATTTAACACACTGTGAGTAATGCAACAACAATGCAACAAAAGTTATTACCTAGGATTCAGTAAAAGTTCAAACAAAATAACAATTTCAGAGAGGAACGAAGAGGTCTACGCTGAACCTGACCCTCCCTGGTCTAAAACATGGACCAAATCCCGATGAAGAAGAAGAAGCTTAATGAACATTATTGTTGAAGGATAAAAAACTAATAATATACCAAAAAAAGTTTTCTTTAATTATTAATAATTATGTCACATTAAAGGATGTTTAATCAAAAAACTTTCACGTAGTTTGAAGCAGATACGATTGCACTAATATATATATATATATATATATCCACGTAGCTGAGTACGTATTATAATTTGGAAAGATTTCTGAGAAAATGAATGGCTTTGTTTTCCTTTTAAATTAAGATAATAAAGTAAATTATTCTGAATAATCACTAGATTGCGGTATAAATTAGTCTATTCCTCAAACAACAAACACTACTTTAAAATAACATATCTTGAGCTCTTTAGTAATTTCTCTGTAGCAAGTGCTTGAGTTTTGTCTATATAAAGATAAGCTTCCAGCTTTAACATCTCAAAGCTTTATACTTTCTATGAGAGAGATGGTATTGTTTACTTTGAACTCTAATAAGGTTGTAATGATCCTTGTGTCATTAGCAATTCTTTTTTATTTCTCTTTATCTTCTAATTAGGCCCTAAAATATCCATCCTTTGATAAATGCACTGATACGGTAACATGTTACATAAGCCAAATGAAATATTTCTGGTCGAAATGATAAACTATTTACAATGAGTCTTATCTGTAAACATATTATTAGGAACCTACATACTTGAGTCATGGCTTATTTTCTTTTCTTCGTGCTTTCATTTTGATATTAAAAGAGCCATATATTGTCTTGCTCAAGGCGTAGTGCTTTGTTACTTATTACAAGCAAAATAGATAAAATTAGATTTTTATTGTTTAAGTATCTTACAGGAATACCTTATAAAAATATATATATTTACCTCTCATATTTCGAAATTAGTCGAAAAGCTAGTTGTTCAACAATTAAATATATTTTATGTAAATCACATGTGATATGCAGTATCTCGTTGCTCTTTTGCCAATCTATGTGCGATGCTCATGTTCAGTTCATATATGCTTGTTCATTAATCTGAAACAGATGAAAATTGAAAAGGGATTAGTATATTGCTAGGATAACTAGCTTTTCATCCATAATTTGCTTTAACTTTTATTCCTTACTTTCATCTTCCCTGATAAATATCAAGAGGACTGTATCACTGACAAGTGAAATTGATTTCATTTGATTAACCAAATTGATATATATATATTTTATTACTCCTTGGGATCGAGTGTGTGTATGTATGTTTCTCGAGCAAAGCCACAATGGAATGGGCTATCTGGTGTGTTCACCGCAGGGAATCGAACCCTGGATTTGAGCATTGTAAGTCCGTAGACTGCCCGTTGTAACACCGGGGGACCTTGAGATCGAAACAAACTTTTTAAGTTTTTCGTTACGATATGTGAATGAGTTTGCTTTCGTTGGATGTTATAAAGTAATGTGTTAAATAAATAAATTAATTTTTTAGTAGTTTCCTGTGGCTCAGCAGTAAATCGAAAGATTTACAACGCTAAAAAGATGTTTTCGACATCCGTAGTAGGCAAAGTATAGATAGTCCACTGTGTAGAGTTTTGCTTGAAAACTAAGTTCAATAGTACCCGAAAAATTACCGATCTAATTTTACATTTCGAAAAAAGACTTTATTGGTAGTGTCCAGCTTTCAAAGTAGATCAAACAGTCCGGATGTATTAAGCTTTTATTTATATTTTCAACATAAAAAAACTTCGCATTTGATAATAAATATTACATTTCGGTTAGGTTAGAATTATCGTTATTTCCTAACCCAGCTACTGAATAATTTGGATAACTGAGAAAGCTACTAATTAGATACATATTTAGCTTGGTTTACTTTCTGTTTGCCTTTATTCTACCTTAATCAGAAATGTCCAGTATTTTTATTCGTCCTCTACTAACAAATATTATAAACGTAAATATTTGAAGTTAGTTTGTTCTATAATAATTCCATGCAAATTTGAAAAGAAAACCAGTTTCTCGAATAATATCGGTCTCTATCTTGTCATAATTTCAGTAAAAACGTCAGCTTCTTTTGTTTTAATCAGCTCACTTCTATTTTAAACAGGTGTCTAATTGACAGCGACTTTTAGAATCTCAACAAATCAAATCGACACCTCTTCTGTGACAACGAGTTTCTATTTTGAAAAATAGACATATTTTCTTAGCAGCCAAAAATAAGACTGTGTTAGCTTTCTCTCAATTATAATCTAAATACTCAAGAGGAAGGAGGAAGTTGACTTACTGAGAGTACTGGGATTGGAGTGATGCAAAGGGTGCGTTGCATTAGGGACCCCAGCCACAATTAAGTGGCTCCAAAAACTTTCAAAATTCGAATTTTTAGTTTATTACACATTCGTTGTTTTTGATAAACTCCGTAATTGATTATTTTTCAACATATGTTCCTTTTATATTTCCTATAAAACTGAACTAATAATCAACGAGCACCATTATAAGTCTCTGTACCAGGGTCACAGAAAACCTGTCGCCGGCCCAGCTTACCGATTAGTGTTCTGGGTGTTTTACCGTTTGCTCTACAAAACCTCTTCCGGTTCTCTCACACAGAAGATGTGATATTATTTATTCTCGTCTCTGTCTCTACTTGTGGTATAAATTTCACATTTTACAAAATCGGAGTATCAGCTTATGAAACTATTTCTGAGACGTAATGTCCCTTGTTATTCAACTTTTATTATCTCAGCCATAATGAAAGAGTTAGAACAAAGGATAATAAAAACAAATCAAGTACATTTCAAAACGCCCAAAAAACTCGAACGTTTCGAATAGTTGACTATTCTCTTTGGTCCTGAAGAAAGTGCTCGAGTTTCATAGTGTTTTGCAATCTAGTTCTAGGTTCATAATTCGTTGTACTTTTCAAAATATCACACTTTGTTTTACCATAACTAATTTACTTTCTTCCACCAACGAATCATTGCCTTCGGTAATCTGTTTTATTTCGAACACATCTCTTAAATACGTTTAAGTTCCTACTATTATATTTATTTTCTGCCTTTTTCGCTATAAGTTTTTAATAGTTATACTCCAACTGGTTAAACAAGAGACAGTGTAGTTCGGGTGAAGTGTGACATATTGTTATACACTTTTCTTTACTTTCAATCACAAGTTCTTAGAATATTTTCGAAAATGATGTTTTTATTATTTCAAGAACTTTGTTTCTACAGTACCTTCTTTGCCTTTTTTCTTCTTCCCACTAATTTTCTAGGCTGAATTACTTTTAAATGTTTACCGTTAAGGTCTCCCGGTGAACTTGTCTGGATGGGGCCTAATAGTCAAAATACACCCTCCACTCAGAAAAAAATAACTCGCGAAAATATTGCGTCAGGCATTATTTACATTTTGAAATGTTTTTATAAATATTTATTGTAAAATGCAATGACAGTTACACATGACAATTTTTTTTCCTCATTGATATAGCGCTGCTATTCAAGTACCGTATTTTTCGGAATATAAGACGCACCGGTGTATAAGACGCACCCTTATTTTGAAGACAAAGTTTTGGG